CCAAAACTATCTTTGGTGTTTGTAAAAGCATTGCAAAAATAAAATTTTATTTTATCTTTTTTCACTAATGATTACTGCAATTGAAAGCATTTTAAGTTTTAGTTGAAGCAAATAATTATTGCACAATTGTTGAGCATACTGTATAATAGAATAAAACAAACAAAAACAAAAAAAAACTAAGGAAAGGAAATTATGATATGTAAATTCATTGAAATGTTAAAGTTTTAAATAAATTTTTTAATACATTTTAAAATCTTATCTTTTTTTTTTTGATGCTACTGCTGCTGCTGTTTTTTTGTTGTTTCCTTCCTGATCTGCTGATTGCCCCTTAATAATCAACATTAATAAAATCATTAATCACTGATACATATCTGTTAAATATGAAAACAACAACAACAACAAAATTATTTTTTCTTATTAAGAAACAAAATGTAAATTTACTTAATTTTAGTTTTTTTTACTCAGATTATCGCTTTTTATGACTGACTTTAAACATAATTATTATCAAAAACATAACATGCTGCATTTTGTTGGCTTCAACTTTATAAGTTTTTATTAAGGCATATGCCTAATAATTATTATAATGTTTATTATTGACAACTAATTTTAACTGTTTTTAATGGACGATGTTTAATAAGTATAAAATTAACAAATTTTTAAGGGATAAGCGTTTTGAATTATAATTTAAAATATTTTTGCTAAAGATTTTCGGTCAAAAATCTATGTGCTTTTGGTTGCTTCACAGTAAACAAACAAGGTGCTGATACGATAAATATTGATAAACAGATGCTGTTTTTAACTTTTATTTACCGCTTAAGTTGACTGCATTTGTCAAAAAATTAAAAAACAAGTACTCTAGAAAGTTAGGCAAAACTAATTTTTAAGCAACTAATATGCAGATAATTTGCGGGTAACACAAGCAGTTTTTTTGGTAAAATTTTTAGAGTTTGCTACAAGTTCCATAAAGTTGTCGCTGTGGAATGGTACATCGCCGAGTTCGTCATGGGAGAAGACGCCGTCATGGAATGATGAAAAAAAACGTTCGTTTCAGTGTCAAGAATGTGGCAAGATATTTAATGCTCATTACAATTTGACCCGTCATATGCCTGTTCATACCGGTGTTCGACCTTTTGTCTGTAAGGTAATCCTAATAATTCCAGGTACATGAGGTTTTCAAATGATAGTTTGAGCATATTTATTGACTGATTTTTTAAAAATGTTTGTAATAAACTGAATGAACAGCAGCAATCCCACTTTGGCTGCCTTGATAATATTTTTAGGCTGTAGTTTGATAGATTTGAATTCATTTTGGTAGTATTAAATTTCTTGTTTGCACTCATCTTTTGTAATTGCACAAACACAGTATTCAAAATGATTGTATTGTAATTTTTGATGGCGACAGAAAAATACTGGCGCTTTATTGACAATGACTACAGCCATAATAGGTTTAAAATTTTTAAAATTGAAAAAAAAAAATAATCGATCTTTTTTCATCATTTTCTTTTTTTTTCACTCATATTTTTCTTTTTGCATTACAGATTATCAGTTGATTAATTGAAAACTACAAAATGACATCAAATTCTATAAGTTTTGACGTTAGCGAAACTAAAAAGGCCTAATAACCATTGGCACAGATATGCACGTACGAATACCAACACAGATACAGACATAGGAATAAAATTTTAGTTAAAGATGAAAAAGCATTGGAGACCAGGAAAGAGGCAGAAAAAGTGAAGAAGAAGAAGGATTATGGTTATCGACGCAATTAAAATCTGTCACAATTTTGTTTCAGATTTGTGGTAAAGCTTTTCGACAGGCTTCAACGTTATGCCGTCATAAAATAATTCATACTGAACAAAAACCTCATACGGTACGTTGAGAATGAAAAGAAAAAGAAAAGACAAGTGAATTGTTTATCAAAGAAACCTTTTTTATTTATCTATATATATTTTTTTTATCTAAACTTAATTACTGTTGCCGCTGTCGTTGTCGTTGTCGGTGTTGTTATCATCATCGTCTAAATTAGCTGGAAATCTTGGAGCAACAAAAAACGAAGAATTTTATTCTTCATAGCAGAGATGATAAAGTAAAGGAACTACTTTTGCTTTTTATTGCTGCTGTTGATGCACTTTAAAATTCTAAGTACACTTATCGCTAAATGACAGTCTGAAAAAAATGTCAAAGAATATTGCTGAAACAATGAGGTGGAGGAATACAGCTGAACTTTTGAAGGAATTTAAAGGAAAAAATGCGATGGTACTTTGCAACAACGACAGACGATGGGTGGCCAGTTGTTATTTTGCTGTCAAAGATACTGTTGTTGTTTCGTCATACAGCTGACAAGAGCACATTTTTCAATTAATTTCTTGAAGTGTATCCCAAAAGAAAAAAATACTCCCTTTTTAACTGTTCTTAGATAATATAACTTTTATAATTAATGACGAAGATAAAAAAAGAAACAAATTTGATGATGTTTGCAGTGTTCAACTTGTGGTAAATGCTTTAATCGATCCTCAACATTAAACACACATATCCGGATTCATTTAGGTAAAGGCTTCCTTTCCATTAATTTCTTTTTTTTTTTTCTTTTGCCTCCTTTTGCTCTTCTATTAATTTTTTCCTCATTTTCCGTTTTTAGATTGTCAATAAGTTTTGCTATTTATTTTTATTTAATCACTTTTTTTTTTTATTTATTGATAATTTATCATTGCATATGAATATTGCGTTATATGTTTGAAGAAAAGAAGGGTTTGAAGCGAAGAAAAAAAAGTGGAAGAACCTTCCACAACTTTTTGCTAAAAGATTGTTTTGAAGAAAAAAAAAGAATGATAAAAAACGTGATTTTTTGTTTTTAATGGTCTAACTTATTTTTAGTATTAACTTTCGCTTTTTTTTTTGAGACTTTAAGTGGTTTTGTTTCAAAAATTATTTTAAGCTCAAATTCCAATCACTTTTTGCATTCTTACCGCAGTCTGTTTCCCAACTAATCACCTACTGAGTTTTCGCCTTTTTTGGGGAAGAGGGGAAGGCTGTGTATGTAGAGGAGGAAGAAAGGAGGTGGAGAGGAAAATGAGAACAGCATGAGCATATTTATCAACAAAATAGTGAACATTGGTATATGTTAAAAACACTGTTTAGAATTGATAGTTTTTGATAAACAAAAAAAAAAATTGCTAGTACTGTAATTTTACAGTAAAGAAAACTTATTTGTACCAAAAGTAATATTTATTGGCAATAAAATATAAGCTTAAAGCAAGAAAAAATAAAACTTTAACAATTTTTGGATTTTTATTTTTTGATTTTCTTACTACAAATTGCATCTGCTTTAAATGTATTCTGTTTAATAGCAGTGACACATTTTTACGTGACAACTTTTTTCTTTGTGCTTTTCTCGGGCTTAATAATTTTTTTTTTTTATCAAAGAAAACCAAAAAATGTTGGGAATTTTCTTTGCTTTTTTATTTTGTACATTATATCAACTTAAAATTTTTTTTCTTTTTTAGATTATCTTTGATAACGTTAATGATTAGCTTTTGTTTTTTGCTCAACTTTTCGTTTAGCCAATATTCTGTGTTTGTTCAACCGGTTGTTATCGGTTGAACAATTATTGGCACAAAAATTTGAGCAATACTGTAGGAAACTGAAAAAGAACTGTATCAAAATTTGATATCATTTTTATTTCATATCTGCTTCTTTTACTTTTTTCCTTTTTTTTTTTTTTTTTTT